CTATTTGATCTTTACCCAAACTAAAAAAAAAAAAAAAGAAACTCAATGAAGTATTTAAATTATTTAACAAATTCTATAAAATTTGGAGAGTAAATGAAGTGGCAATATGGAAAGCCAAAGTAGTTGGAGATTAAATATATAGATATATATATATATATATCTATATATATTTATTTATTTATTTATTTGAGATCATTAAATAAATATATCAATGGATTATTGATATTTTCATTCAGAGAGACTAAACGGTGCCGTATATGTAAATGACCATTTGTAATAACAGCATTTTTACGCAAAAAATGCGAAGTTACTGGCAATAGTCTCCAGTCTAAGCTCTCAACTCTCAACGCTATTAAAATGATATCCTTCTCTCTCTATTGAACCAAACCAGGGAAGAACCAGAGAAAGGAGATGAAGAAGATGGGTGACAGAACGATTATCGCTCTCTTCTTCGCTTTACTTTATCTATCTACTGCGCATTCCTTCTATCTCCCTGGTGTTGCTCCTCGCGATTTTCAAAGGGTATCTCTTATCCTTTATCTCTCTTTTTCTCTCTGTGGACAAACATATTACTATCATGCCTCGCCCCCTTCCATTTTTTCACTTTATGGATTTATAGTCTTTTGGTTTCTTCAAATTTACTTTATTTTATGGATCATTTCTTCTGTTAAGTGAGATAAAAGTTGGATCTAGGGTTTTCGGAGTTTGATCTGGTATATCAGTTTTTAATCTTAGTAGATCTGTTGTAATTTTTTTTCGTACTGGGGATTCGAGTTTCTTTTTGATCTTTGTGTTCTTCCGTCCCTTAGACTTGCTGTTCTTGCTGGCAGTTATAGTTCAGAATGTTTAGCTCCATACTTCCATTTAATTGATGTATTTTGTTGGGTTTGCTGTGATCGAAAAGTGGAGTTTTCCCATAATTGAATGGATGCTATAGCATGAAGATCTCTTTAGAAGTTCTTTTATGATGTGTTTTTCGCCTTCGAATTTGGCATCGGAAAACGAGAAGAGCATTTAGCTGATGCATGCGGCTGTTGTCTAAAAGCTAAACTATTGTTACTATTGTTCTTTCTTCCATTTTTAAATGGTTATTCATATTCAGCTCAGCATAACCAGCACGGGATCATTGAAATGCGATGCTTAGTGATTGATCTATTGAAAAGTAAATCTGGGATCTCAAATGTGCTGTAGATTTATTTTCATCTTTTCCATGCTAGGAGATTGCTTTTTTCATTGAGCATTTGAAAGTGCAAGTAGCTATGCAGGAAAACTACTAAAGTTTTATGAATTTCAACTTCATATTAATATATGCTCTAAACTCTGATTGGTTGGAGAGGAAGGTGGTGAAGGAGAAAAGATGTTTGAGAGAAGAATGAGAGGAAAGAAAATTAGGAAGAGCAGATCTTCCTCCCGCATGAATTGATCATAATCCTCGCAAATTGGGTGCTCATATGTGTACAAAGTAAAATCTGTATTAGTTTTACTTTTTTCCCCTTACATTCCTTATATTCTCTACAAAACACATAATGGAAAGATCATTTTTTTTTTCTTTTCTTATTCCTATACTTTTTATTTTCTCTCCTACCAATCTTAGACATAGTGTCCGGTTGTGTTTAATGTAAGGCCTCATTCTGATTTGTGTGACATTTAAAACGAACTGGAAACTACGAATTAGAGTGCACTGTGCTGCAGGAATAGAGTCTATTCCTTTTCCCCTGATATCTAACCATCCTAGTCTTCTGCTTATTTGTGATAAGAGGTGCCACTTAATACAGCAATGAAAGTTAAGTAGATGAAGTAGTATGGTTTGAGGAACTTAAAGAACTAAACATTGACTTGAATTTTTGTACTGGTGTAAGCTATTTGTATGTATGTCTAGAAGTGTCCTTGACCAATATGTGATTTTGATTTATGATTAGGTAAAAATGCATTTGTTTAACTTTGTTACTACTGTTGCAATCAAAACCTTTGTTCCCTTTTCTTTCTAATTAGGATCAGTAATGAAGCTACCATCTTATCACTAAGTAATTCCATCTGTTACTATAATTATCCCATTTCCTGAGCAGGGCGACCCACTTTCTGTCAAAGTGAACAAGTTGTCATCTACAAAGACTCAACTTCCATATGATTACTACTACCTCAACTACTGTAAGCCGCCTAAGATTGTCAACAGTGCAGAAAATTTGGGAGAGGTTCTCAGAGGTGACCGTATTGAGAATTCAGTATACACTGTAAGGAACACTTGCTTTATCTTCCATTATTTATGGTAGTTGGTAAATGTTGAATTTTTACTAAAATTTTGACTTTTGTTCCTTAAATTTTCTTATATTATTTTGCAAGTCTTAAGTTTATGAATTATGTTCCAGTTTGAAATGAGGGAGGATCAGCCATGCAAAGTAGGATGTCGAATAAAACTTAATGCTGAATCTGCCAAAAATTTCAAGGAAAAAATTGATGATGAATATCGGGTTAATATGTAAGTAATGGCTCTAAACTGTAGTTGGCAATCTTTGCATCTTTGGAATATATATATATATATATATATATGATATATGATATATGATTTATCTGCATTGTTTTATTTTATGTTATTGGTTCCCTGAAAATATGTGTGTATATATTGCAATCTAATGCAATCTGTTTACATAGTTTCTCTTTCACAATGTTGATCAATTTTCTTCTGCAGGATTCTTGATAATCTCCCAGTTGCTGTTCTTCGACAAAGGAGGGATGGAAGTCAATCAACAACATATGAACATGGTTTCCGTGTTGGATTCAAAGGGAATTATGCTGGGGTATGGTTTAAAAAGCAATTGCTATGATAGGATTTTCCTTTGGCATTAAACTCTGGCAATTGTCTGTTTTACAGAGCAAAGAGGAGAAGTATTTTATCAACAACCATTTGAGTTTTCGAGTTATGTTCCATAGGGACCCAGAAACTGATTCTGCCCGAATTGTTGGATTTGAGGTTACACCAAACAGGTGCTGTATTGCTCTATTCACATAATCTCTATCCACTTTATTCCCTTGTGGTGAAATGCCTTCTTTGAGCTATTTTTGTGTCTGCTCAACAGTGGCTGGTGAAGAGTGGATATTGTAGTTGTTCAGTCTTCTCTTTTTTCCTTTCTTTATGTGTATCTGCTTGGATTGCATCACTAAGTAACTGGGTTTACTTTCTCAAGGTCATCACTGGCTTATACATTCCATTGTTGCTAACAGTATCTTACACGAATACAAAGAGTGGGATGAAAAGAATCCACAGTTGGCAACATGCAATAAGGACACCAAAAATTTGATTCAAGGGACCACTGTCCCTCAAGAAGTAGACACAAATAAGGAGGTTGTGTTTACATATGATGTAACCTTTAAGGTATCTCTATCTTTCATTTTTTTTGAAATAATTAGGGTATCTCTGTCTTGACTTTTGGTTGTTTCATCAATCTCATTTTTCATACTTCACATGTTCCATCACACTTGCTGCTGTTTATCCAGGAAAGTGATATCAAATGGGCGTCTCGTTGGGACACATATCTTCTCATGAATGATGACCAGATCCACTGGTTTTCCATCATAAACTCATTGATGATTGTCCTCTTCCTTTCTGGGATGGTGGCCATGATCATGATGAGGACTCTATACAAAGATATTGCAAATTATAATCAGTTGGAAACCCAAGATGAGGCTCAGGAAGAAACAGGATGGAAACTTGTCCATGGAGATGTCTTTAGGGCACCAGTAAACTCTGGTTTACTTTGTGTTTATCTTGGTACGGGTGTTCAGATCCTTGGAATGACGCTTGTGACAATGATATTTGCACTGCTAGGGTTCTTATCTCCTTCCAACAGAGGAGGACTTATGACAGCTATGGTTCTCTTGTGGGTTTTCATGGGGTTATTTGCTGGTTACTCATCAGCTCGATTGTACAAAATGTTCAAGGGTACAGAGTGGAAGAAGAACACCTTAAAAACTGCATTTATGTTCCCTGGTATTCTTTTTGCAGTCTTCTTTGTTCTGAATGCCCTAATTTGGGGAGAACAATCTTCTGGGGCTGTGCCTTTTGGGACAATGTTTGCTCTTGTCTGCTTATGGTTTGGTATATCTGTTCCCTTGGTCTTTGTGGGCAGTTATTTGGGCTACAAAAAGCCAGCAATTGAAGACCCAGTCAAGACAAACAAAATTCCTAGGCAGATACCAGAGCAGGCATGGTACATGAAACCTGTCTTCTCCATCTTGATCGGAGGCATTCTTCCATTTGGGGCTGTCTTCATTGAGCTCTTCTTCATCTTGACGTCAATATGGCTGAACCAGTTCTATTATATATTTGGATTCCTCTTCATAGTTTTTGTTATTCTGCTAATCACTTGTGCAGAGATCACAATAGTGCTCTGCTACTTCCAGTTGTGCAGTGAGGACTATCACTGGTGGTGGAGATCCTACCTGACTGCTGGCTCCTCTGCTTTGTACCTTTTCCTGTACTCTGTTTTCTACTTCTTCACCAAGTTGGAAATCACAAAGCTCGTCTCCGGGATTCTTTACTTTGGTTATATGATAATTGTTTCATATGCCTTCTTTGCCTTGACGGGCACAATTGGTTTCTATGCATGTTTCTGGTTTGTTAGGAAGATCTATTCCTCAGTGAAAATTGACTGATATGAAGATACAAAGAGGGGCAAAGGAACTTGGGATCAAGTATTGTGAAATCTTTTCCAGCATTCTCTGCATCGTCAGGATGAGATTATGCATTGGAAGTTTTAATGCTGTTCTCTTCGAAACCTTTTAGTTCATGTAGGGTAGGGTAGGGCTTGGCTTGCTGTTCTGTTACACTGTTAAAAAGTCGAATCAATTGTACTTGTAATAGCCTTGCAAGAACCTTTGAGCAGTGTTTTAGATGTGTTGAGTATACCCTTAAATATATCCACTGATGCCAAAACAATCATGAATTTTGTGAATTCTTGAGTACTTTGTTATTTACAATAATGATTTTTAATTGCCTGTGAGTCTTATTACAGTTAAAGACCATGCCCACTAGAATGATAATGCGAAATTTGCATGTAAATGGCAATGATTTTGTTGTTGTTCTGTTTCTCAAATGCATTGCATTATGGCATCTCAATTTTGTTAACAGTCCTGTTAGCAGGGTGTTTGTAGCACCTTTTTTAAGTAGCATTTCTTTACAAGATCAAGGTAGAGTTTTGTTTGGGCGCCCTTTTTAAATAGCAATAGCATTCAGTAACAGTTGTTGAATGACATTTCAATTTTTAACAAGCCTTCTTGTTCTTAAAAGAAAGACTGTTGTGGGGAGAGAGCATTTCCATCCTTCCATATCAATTTATTTTTGGTCCTGAATGTCATTGAGTGATTAATATTAGTTTGATCAGGTTGTGCTTTTAATTGCATTAATTTATGATAAGTGATTTGATGAATATTATTATTTAGTTTATGGTCCAATAGACATATCCATTTATTATAGGACTAAAAAGCCTTGGTTTTAAAGAGGGGGGAAAAGACATTTTCAAAGTGTAGTTATTCCGGTATTACCATAAATTGCTGCATAAATGGATTATCATCATAATTGGCATGATGGCACCACATGGAAATAAAAAGATGTATGATGAGCATTTAAAATGATAGTCTTGAATACTGATAATTAGGTTATATGTGAAATCAAACTAATTTTAAAGGCCTGTACTTTGTTTGGATATGGAAGATGCTAATATTATTAAAAAAATTATATAATTTCAACCCGATAACAAAAAAAAATCACATATGATTTAAAATAGACAGAAGAATATAATCAGCTGAACATATAACCAAAAGCAACTAACCAGTCCATATAATTAAGGTGACAGAAATTTGTGTAATATGACAAAACGTGGAGTGAAGCTCACTTGGGAGGTTTAGCTCTCAGTGCCTCAATAACTGCTGAAAAATCCTCATCACTAAGCCCGTAAGATTTTGCCACCTTATACATTTCATTAGCGGCTGCTGCTATTGGAGTAGACTGGGAAACCGATTCCGCTAATCCAAGTGCAAGTCTCAAGTCCTGTCAACATGAGCATTGTGTTAACGAAGCAACCAGTATATATGTATATGATACACTTCTGTAACCCAGACCTAATCACCATCACAAACCTTTTGCTGATGTTTTAAAGGGAAGGCTGTTGGATAGAGGGATTTAATCATCGAAGGACCTTTCACTGAGTACATGGGTGCGCTGATAGCACCCTGTGAGATTACCTGCAAAATCATTCATAGAAGAGAGATTTCTCAAAGAGCTCTACAAAAACTGGTCTATAGACGCCATAACTCTATTAAAATGCACTGCATATGGATCAGTTTGGATTTAAACAAAAAAAAAAAAAAAAAAAAGAATTTGCCTTGTAACTCTTCCTTTCTATATAACATGTCTGATTTTCCCTGAGTCCTGAAGGTCCAATTTTTTTTTTTAACTAGGCCTATAATTCTTTGAAGGCAGTGAAAAGGTAACCAATCCAGAATGACTAGAAATATCTCTGTTTCTGTTGTTGGATTTTAACAAATCAAGGACATTCCAATAAGTAACCAGAAGAGTAGTTTGACCACATTGTTCCCTCGTTTTAAATTATCAAAACAAAATCAAGGAGATTTATGATAAAATAGTTCAAGGATAGAATCAACTAATATGACTTTATTAGAGGGCCACATTAACACTAGTGAAACAAAATAAATAAAACATGAAGGCTTGATGAAGTACCTCGACTAGCACACTTGGATCAAGTCCTACTTTCTCACTTAAAAGTAATCCTTCAGAGAATGATGCCATCATACTGGAAATTATTTATTAACAGTAAAGAAAAAAATCATCATCGCATTTATCAGTATTATTACCAAACCAAAGGAATAAAGTGTAGTCAAAACTCTTCCAAACCTTCCCATGACCATGTTGATAACAAGCTTCATAGCAGCTCCATTTCCAACATCCCCAAGGTAGAACCTTGACTGGGAAAAAAATATAGATGCTCGTAAAGAATCAGAAAGGTTAATTAGATAACTTAAGTTAGTGAAAGTGAAACTTAAGTGATAAGACAAAACTATACCTTTCCCATGATGTCTAGCAGTGGAGAAACTTTTTCGTAGAGAGGCTTGTCACCTGAAAGATGAGAGTTAATAGCTAAGTACACTTCACAAATCTTGTATGGGTACTTGTGCCATATATCAAACAGACAATGGAACCAAGGACTAGATAGATCAAACCTGTTTGATCCTTTTACTGCATGGAATTGTTTGATAGGAACATGGTAAATATACAAATTTGATGTGCAATTTCAATAACTTTAAAAACCAATCTTGTGATTTCTATATATTCAGACACATTCAGCGGACCAAATGATAATAAAAATATACTACCCACCGCCAGTAAGGAATATCAATTGACCATCTTCTGCTGGCTTTTTGGAGCCTGAAACTGGAGCCTACAGAGATAAAAAATCAGGAACTTAGTTGAAGTCCACTTCTTTATCATGTTTCAAGAGAATGCAAAAGCACATTAGACCAGTTGGATTTTTTTTAAAAAGAACATTGTAGTCTTGCCTCCAAAAATGAGGCCCCAGCAGCTTTTATATGCTCATGAATCAATTTGGAAGTTGTGCCGTCAACAGTTGATATGTCCACATACCTGACAATATTACTAATGTAGATTAGACATGCGAAGGACAAGCATACAATATACAGAAAGGACCCACTAAATTGCGAGAAAACATAATCCTCGCTTTTATGTTGTCTTAGACACTTGCCCCGAAATGACCTGGCCCAATAGGGAAATCCCAATTCATTGGCTTTCGATACAATAAATAGAAGCCTAAAATGAAAAACACTCTGGATTTTGCTAGCGCTGG